AATCAAGAAGTGAGGAAATATAACTGGAAATATTTACTAACATATACAATACATATATAATAAATACATTTCCTTGAGTGAACAGATTGCTAAAATTAAAATAATTCTCTAATTAATTTTCTTTTGTTAGTAATTTTTCATATGTTTTCATTTTATAACAGATATTCAAATAATGCCAACAGATATTTATGTTCATGAAACAAATTAATATCAATGATTCGATTAATTTTACAGGTGAGTCCTCCACCGATCCCTCCCAAGGCTCATCAAGACACGCCGTCAGCTCCTTCCACCTTGGAGAGAGTATCCAACAGAACGCAGAGCCACGGACACTCAGAGAATTATTCCGTTCCGAAGATGCAGACGCTCTCCGTGGCGTCCGATACGGAGAGCACCGTGTAGTGACGATATCCCCCTAGTCTCTAGCGGTTAGTATTTAGTGATTTGTATGTGCCATTATGGTCAGGCGCGAATCCTGTACTCGATTTATCCCTCGAGTTGTCGGGTGAATTCTCTTAGGTAGTAACTTAAGATAAACGTAAGAATATCATCGTCGTCATCGTTGTTGTCGTCGTCGTGTCTAACGGGTGTGGTACGCGGAGAGACGGTCTTACATCTGTCATCATCGAGATTTCTGACTTTTGTACAACACTCTCTGCACGTAGCTGATAACAAATCATTGTATAAGCCGAATCAAACCGTAAACCCGAAATCACATCGATCTCCCAAATGTAATACGAAACGAATCGTATCCAATCCGCGTATATACGTACCTTCGTAGAGAAATAGAAAGGAAAGTGCGTAATAATCGCCCTTGAACACCGAAAACGTTCAGCAAGAAGCTTCTTGATAGATTGAATTTATTTGAATGTGATCGGTGATCGAATCGCGATGTATACACATATATATGTATACACATATATATCGATTTTACATAAAACATTCTTCCGAGTATATCAATCCACACATACCATACTGACTATATATATTTTGTAATTTATTTATATTTTCAACGAGAAAATAAAGATAATTTTTAAATCAATCAAGAATTGCTGGAGATTGTGTGGAGTGATATTGTCAACGTACAGTTGTGCGGATGTGGTTGGGAGAGAGGTTGGAAAAAAATGAACCCTACCCCGAAATACTGAGGGGTATATAAATTATGTATTTTGTCACAGTTCTTTTTTTTCTCTTCGTCTCGTATGAGTGTATATACAAAAGTATGAAAAAATGCGCCACATGATTGTACGCTTTAACTTACGCTACTTTTTCTTCTTCTTTATGGCATATAAAATAAAGAGAAAGATTGTAAACTTCTATAAAAAAAGTAAATAAAACCTAAATTATACATATACTTATGTAGGATGATTCTTAATTATATGTCAATATTTTATAGAGAGTGAATACAGAGCTAAAGAAAAAGATGGCGCATACGAAAATAAGTTCAAACGATTTAAACGTTTGACATTTTTTTGTTTCGGTTTTTAGTTTCATCTTCTGAAACATTATTATATAATTAAGAATCACCCTGTACATAGGAAAGAGAATAGGCAGTGGAATGTATACATTGCACAATACTGAGCTCATGGAGAGAAAAAATTTAAGATAGGATGGAATCAGTTTATAATGAGTAATGATTGGAGATCATTTTTGTTCTCTGTATCTTTCTGAATATCATTGTCAATTGACGACAATAATCATTCATTGAGAATCGGAGATTCACAATTCGGAGCCGAATTGCTCCTGAATAAAAATTATAACAAGCGCAAATATTTATGTTGGGTCGATCAGAGTAAGATTGAACGATTTAGTGCGAACTTTGATCTTGTTCCACTAATTATCTATACTGATTTTAAATATAAAAAATTATATTTAAAATACGGTTTTAAATTATGAACTTTATTTTTTTTTATTTGCATTCTAAATCGTTCAACTGTGTAATTGGATAAAAA